GTTTCTTTTTCTGACTTACTTCACTCTATAATAGGCTCCAGTTTCCTCCACCTCATTAGAACTGATTCAAATGCATTCTTTTGTGTATATGTACCACAGCTTCCTTATCCATTCATCTGCCGATGGACATCTAGGTTGCTTCCATGTCCTAGTTATTGTAAACAGTGCTGCAGTGAACATTGGGGTCCATGTGTTTCTTTCAATTCTGGTTTCCTCCATGTGTATGCCCAGCAGTGGGATTGCTGGGTTGTATGGCAGTTCTATTTCCAGTTTTTTAAGGAATCTCCACACTGTTCTCCATAGGGGTTATACTACTTTGCATTTCCACCAACCATGTAAGAGGGTTCTCTTTTCTCCACACCCTCTCCAGCATTTATGGTTTTGTAGACTTTTTGATTTAGCCTCATCTTTATCAGGATCCTTCATGTAGGATGAACATGGCACAGCTGGAGATTTTCAGTAAGCCTCAGTTGAACTCTGTGCAGGCTGTATAGCTTTCATTCCCTTGTTCAGAGTGAACAGAGATTATTAGCTGTCTCACACTGGAGATCTTTGTTTTGTCATCAAACTTTGGCAACGATTAAGACAGGAATATCATTTGAGATCTTCCCTTTCTTGTTTGTTGCTTCATAGTCCCCTTTGCCTGGAACCTCTGATAGACCCTCTGAGTTTGGACTATGGCCACAGGGCTATAATGTGTCCAGGTTGAGGAATGAGCATCACTGGGCTACTGTTCTGCGATACCCCCACGGACTGACCACAAGCAGTGGTTTCCAATCTGAATCACCAATCCTACCCATACAACCTCATAAAATATAAACTGCCAGGTTGGCTAAACTTAGCTGGGAGTTACAGGACAGGAGAAATAGCACTGGGCACAGCTGCTTTAGTTGAGCTCTAAAAGATATTCCTTACAGGAGGGACATTATCCCTGTCATCTCAACTTGGTAAGGAACCATGCTAGATGACTGTGTGTGAGTCCACCATAGGTGAGATAAACCTAGTTCGGTAAATATCTGAACTCTTTTTAAATGACCATGAGCACAACTTCTAGGGACCTAAAACAGACATAATTTGACAGAAGACTCACAATTCCCTTGTGAAAAATGAGATGTATGTTCATCAATCATCATTTAAATTCCATGCAAAGTCTTTCTAGCCCAAATGCACTTCATACATCAGGCTAGTTTTGCTGTCAACAATGTGGTCATGAAAGGCTGCTGACTTTCCACTTTGTTGTAATCCAGTAGGTTTCCGGAAACACAAAACACATGCAACAAAAACAGCAACAACAACAACAACAAAAAACCTTAGGAACAAAAAGGACAATATGATCTTTACAGGAGGAAAATGTCCAGGACTGATATTAACCCTTTTCCCCACATGTCTAATTCAACTCCCTGTTCTGTCCTTTTACCTCCTCTCTTCTCTCACTCTCACCTGCTGCCCAGAATTTCCTTCATCATCTTTTCCCTCAAGCTATCTCCGTCTCTACCCTGAGCAGCATCCTACCTGATCTTCCCAATTCCACACTGGGTCCATTCAACATCTCACAACCCAAGGCATAGCTTGTCATGCCCTTACTCTTCTCTGATGGGAAAACATTGATAACTTCTCCTGACTTTCACAAATGGGTCCTCAAATGTTAAATAATTTGGGAAGTCTCATATTTAATGTCACTGCAGCCTCTTGTAATACAAGCCTAGCAGTCTTTTGTATACAGCCATACTGGCCTTTTAAAACTCATACAAGATGATATGTCTTCCACAAACAGGTCATTTCCTTCACCTAATACACACTTTTTCTCTTTCTCTTTTAATGTCTCCTTCATCTTCTTCAGTTTTCAGTTCAATCCTTATGTTTTTAAGTTGGAAGTTTTGGATAATTCTATATTTCCCCCCAGTCTTTGACTTCTGAACAACACATATGTGTCTCTAGTACTGTTTTCTTTATCTTTATATATATATATATATATATATACACACACACATATATACAAGTGTTAGTTGTTCAGTTGTGTCTGACTCTTTACATCCCCATGGACTGTAACCTGCCTAGCTTCTCTGTCCACGGAATTCTTCAGGCAAGAATACTGGAGTGGGTTGCCATTCTCTTCTCCAGGGGATCTTCCTGACCCAGGGATTGAAACTGGGTCTACTGCATTGCGCATAGATTCTTAACCATCTGAGACACTAGGGAAGCCTGGTATATGTATATATATATATATAACTGAATTTTAATTTACTATTACTTTCCAAGTGAATAGTAAGCCCATTCATTGTAGTTTAAACCCTATGTTTCCACTTTCTATGTATGGATATTTGTCCAATTGACAATACACAATTCTTTGTCAACAATAATTAGTTGAATGATCTTGGCTAATATTTTGAGAATATTTTTCTCAAAAGCAGCATTAATTTCATCTGTGTTTCTATTTTTTTATGTATCTGACTCATGTGATCCTATGAATCTATTTGCACCATCTTGCTCCTCACCATCCTCATACTTTCATGTTATTAATCTCCTATCAATGTCCTTGGTTGGCATGTTTCTGGACCAAAATGAAATCAATATTTACACACTTGAGACTACCCAGGGCCTCTTAGCTTGTCTAGGTCTCCTTACTTCTACACCCTCATTGCCTTGGTATTAATTGGGCCCATGAAGTCACCTCTGTTTGTCTTTGACTAACTCAGTGGGTTAGGAGGCCTCTCAAGGAGGACTCTGAATTCCCATTCTGTGTATTAATGATATGATTTTTGCAGGTCATTATCTTTATTTTCACATCTGATAAAGGATTTTTTTTTTTTTTTACTATATACACAAACCTATTGTCATATATTATGGCATGCTAATAAGGGAAATCACTGTAAATATTCAACAAATGATGGTAAGAGTTATACTATAATAAGTCATCAGAAGGGTCTATGTAACAAAAGAACATGTAAAGAGAGAGTGTACTGAAGTATGAGAGATTCATACTCCAGTCAGAATGGCCATCATTTAAAAGGCTACAAATAATAAATGCTGGAGAGGGTGTAGAGGAAAAGGAATCCTTCTAGACTCTTGGTGGGAGTGTAAATTTTTGCAGCCACTATGGAAAAAATTACGGAGGTTTTTTAAAACAAATAAAATAGAGTTTCTGTATAATCCTATAATCCCACTCCTGGACATATATCCAGATTAAATTCTAATTCAAAAAGGTGCATGCATCACCCCAGTACTCATTGCAGCACTATGTACAATAGCCAAGACATGGAAGCAGCCTAAATGTCCATCAACATATAAATAAAGAATATATACAATGGAATATTAATCATAAAAAAGGATGAAATAATGTCATTTGCAGCAACATGGATGGACCTAGAGATTATTATATCCAGTGAAATAAGACAGAAAGAGAAAGAGAAATATTGTGATATCACCTATATTTGGAATCTAAAAAAAAATGACATAAATAAATTTATTTACAAAACAGAAATAGACTCATAGACATAGAAAACAAACTTATGGTTACCAAAGGGGATGGGTAAGGGAAACAAATTAGGAGTTTGGAATTAACATATACAATCTACTCTACTTAAAAGGGGTAAATAAGGGTTTCCTATATAGCACAGGTAACTATACTCAATGTCTTATAATAACCTTTAATGGGAAAAGAATATGAAAAAGAATATATATACATGTGTGTATGTGTATATATATACATATATATACACATATATATATGCATGCATGCCCAGTTTCTCAGTTGTGTCCGATTTTTTCAGACTCCATGGACTATTCTGTCAGGCTCCTCTGACCATGGGATTCTCTAAGCAAGAATGCTGGAGTGGGCTGCCATTTCCTACCCCAGAAATGTTCCTGGCCCAGATATCAAACCCACATCTCCTGCATTGGCAGGCAGATTCTTTACCACTGTGCCACCTGGAAAGCCCTATACACACACACACACACACACACACACACACACATACACGTGCATATGTATGCATGCTTAGTCACTTCAGTTGTGTCCGACTCTTTGAGACCCTATGGACTATAGCCTGCCAGTTTTCTTTGTCCATGGGATTCTCCAGACAAGAATAATGGCATGGGTTGCCTTGCCCTCCTCCTGAGGATCTTCCCAACCCAGAGACTGAACCCAGAAGCCTATATATATATATATATATATATATATAGGTTTCCCTGGTAGTTCAGGTAGTAAAGAATCCGCCTGCAATGCAGGAGACCCTGGTTCAATTCCTGGGTTGGGAAGATTCCCTGGAAGAGGTCATGGTAACCCACTCTAGTATCCTTGCTTGAAGAATCCCCATGGACAAAGGAGCCTAGCAGGCTACAGTCCATGTGGTCACAGAGTCAGACACGACTGAGCAACTAAACACAGCACAGCACAGAATATATATATATACACACACACACATACACATATATAGATAATCACTTTGCTGTACACTTAATACTAACACAACATTCTAAATCAACTATACTTCAATTAAAAAAAAAAAAGAGTGAGTAATACTGATACACCATGAGGAGAGAAGAGCAGGTATAAGAGCCCAAATACTTAAATGCTTTAGGGCTTTTTACATTGAGGATGTGCTTTTAGCATGGAGGAGAAAAAGCAGGATAGATGGTGGGTCACTCACAGATCTTAGTAAGAAAAGCTCACTAGTTTTTGTTTTGGTAAAGAAAAATAACAATCAATGCATAGATAAGGATAGATGAAATTTGTCATGTGATATAAGATGGAAACAAAACGTTTAGAATTATTATAAAAAATCATTTTACCAGGTCAAGAAGCTCTTTTTTTATGTCTCCACCTTTTATTTTTTATCCTTCAATATTTTGTTCTTGGGTCATCCGTGATTTCTAGATAACAAGTGTCATTTTACTTCTACTCTTCTTACTCTGCACTTTTAATCTTTCCAATCAGTCGGGGATCTGTGAACGAGAGAACTGTCCGAAGTCAAGACAAGAAGGAGTAGTGAGCAACTTCCATGGCCTCAGGAATCCTGGTGAACATACAAGAGGAGGTGACCTGCCCTGTTTGCCTGGAGCTTCTGACAGAACCCCTGAGCCTTGACTGTGGTCACACCTTCTGTCAAGCCTGTATCACTGTAAACAACAAGGAATCCATAATTGGCCAAGAGGGGAACAGAAGCTGCCCTGTATGCAGAGTTAGTTTTGAGCCTGGGAACCTGCGGCCTAACAGGCAGGTGGCCAATATAGTGCAGAGGCTCCAAGAGGTTAAGGGGAAACAAGAGGAAGAGCAGAAGAGAAATCTCTGTGCTCACCATGGAGAGAAACTCCAGCTCTTCTGTGAAGAGGATAGGAAGGTCATTTGTTGGCTTTGCGAGCGATCTCAGGCGCACCGAGGTCATGAGACGTTCCTCTTGGAGGAGGTTGCACCAAAGTACCAGGTAAGAGACCAGAATGGAGAAAAAACACAGCAGGAAATGGTACTTGAGGGAAATCTCGACTTTGCATTGGACTTTAATTACCTGGCTACCAGGGACTTAAGGCCTGTGATCCCTTTTCTTCGTATGCCTACCTTCAGACATGTGAAGAAAATTTCTGTGCATTCCACCCACGTATAAGCAAACAAATGGACTCTTAGGCAAAAGTAGACATTCATGTATCTTGTGCTAGGGCGTGGACATCTGGGGCCAAGAGAAGCTCTCATTACCCTTCTGAACATGATACGTTATTAGGACACTGGGTGGATTGAGGTGTAAGTTTATTTTTTTCTTACAGAATCAAGTTTCTTCCAAAACAAAGAGAACCAGTCTTCTCTTGGTGAGGGGACAGTGTCTCCTATATCTTGAGTCTCAAAGAACACATTCACTATCAAGGTCTTCTCCCAAGTCAGAGATTCTAGTTACTTTCACAGTTTCTGTTAAGTCTATTCTCTTTGGAAATCAGCCTTATTTATCCCATTTATCCAATATAGTGATGCTGAGAAAGCCCATATCTTGACACTGGTGTGATTCTTCTCTCACAGAAAACGCTCCAATTATGTCTGCAGAGGCTGAAGGCAGAGAAACACGAAGCTGAGAAGTTGGAAATTAAAGTCAGAGAAGAGATGTCTACTTGGAAGGTATGAGAAGACACTTCCTGAGAAAGTTAGACAGGTGCAGGACCTTGGGTTGGTCACAAGGAGATGCCTTTTTCTTTGCACCATGACAGTTAAGGCATTTGGCTCATCCTTTTCTTCAGCCTTCCTATAATTGGTGTGGTATTAAAAAGGGACCATACCACAAATAAACATAAATACTGGAGGGGGAGTATTTATAGAGAGGGCCTCTCTGATGAGGATGGCTAGGAAATTTCATATTCCATTCTTGTCATGTTTATTAGTCTTCTCAGGGAGATATCTGACAATGGCTCATCGTTCTGCCCTCAGTGTTCAACTTTTTGGGAGAGGGTGGTGGGAGGGGGTCAGGAGTAATGGAGGGAGGCATGGGCATCCTGGACAGATGTGTGAAGGCTGCCCACACCCAGAGATCCCGTTTGGCTCTGAGTTGCCTTCAACAGTGCAGACTTGGGACCATTATTTTGAAATATGGTAAAAAGAAAAAAATTATAAACAAAGTCAGCTACCCCAAGTTTTGCTTTCCTCTTTCTATTTCACTTCCTTGTGGACTCCCCTGATAGTTCAGTTGGTGAAGAATCTGCCTGCAATGCAGGAGACCCCAGTTCAATTCCTGGGTTGGGGAAGATCCCCTGGAGAAAGGGATAGGCTACCCACTCCAGTATTCTTGGGCTTCCCTTATAGCTCAGCTGGTAAACAATCCAACCACAATGTGGGAGACCTGGGTTCAATCCCTAGGTTGGGAAGATCTCCTGGAGAAGGGAAAGGCTACCTACTCCAGTATTCTTGCCTAGAGAATTCCGTGGACTGTATAGTCCATGGGGTTGCAAATAGTCAGACATGACTGAGAGACTTTCACTCCTTGTGGGAACTTCCCAAGCAGAATAGTTATTTTTCTGACTCCCAGTCTCAGGCCGATGGCCCAAGTCCCTCTCTCTGTCTTTTTCTCATTCCTGAAGACTCAAATACAAAATGAGATGCAAAGTGTCCAGGAAAACTTTACAAGCCTAAGACAAATCCTGGACAGTGAGGAGGTGAAAGAACTGAAAAAACTGAAGGATGAGTTGGAAGTTATTCTCAAAGAGCTGGCAGAATCTGAGAATGATCTGGTCAAAAAGAAGCTGTTGGTGACCAATCTCATCTCAGATGTGGAGCACCATTTGCAAGGGTCAACAATGGAGCTGCTGCAGGTAAGACTTGGAAAGGAACCCCAGCATCTGAGGCATGAGAGAATTAAGTTCCTGTGATCCTTCTGATGCCCTTGCGGAGGTTGCTTTGACCCTGCAATATACCTTCTCTGCATCTATTTCAGAGGTTATAAGAATAACTGAATTATTCAATGTAGGAATAACAAGGAAAAGTTCTATTTTTACTGTTATCAAGCTCATTGCAAACACTTCACTGTCTAGAGAAGACTTATTGTGTTCAGTGATTTTCCATAAGCCCCTGTTTTCTGTGGTCCCGTGCTAAACATTTATCAAGTACCTTTTCATGATTCAGATTATCACAGACAAATTAACTTCAGATTCCAAGAAGGTTTTTTTCCTCAATGTGTTGAGATTGTCTATCTTTTTTCTGTTTTTGAAGACAGTTTATGAAGAACTGTTATTTATCTTTAAATACTCAGTATAATTTACCAGCATCACCATTTCACTCTGGGTTTTTTGTTATTGGAAACGTTTAAAATATACATATTTTTTCTTTCTTTTTTACTTGTATTAAGGTTATTTAGATTTTTGCAGTCCGTTAGTCCTTTATTGTATGTTTTTGTAGGAATCTGTCTATCCTAAGTTGTCTGGTTTGTAAACATAAAGTTAGTTATAACAATTCCTTATTGTACCTTTAATTTCCATAGTACTCAGAGCAAAGTCCCTTTTTGTGCTCCAGATTTTCCTCTTTCACTTTTTTCCCTACTCCTTTTAGTTATTTTTGTCAATTATATTAATTTTTTTTCAAAAGTATTATTTCATTGATTTTATTTATTTTGTAAATTTTCTTTTGCATTTATTTCTGCTCTCATATTTATTGTTTTCTTTGTGTGTCTGTATACACTTTTGCATGTGCATGTGTGCATGTGTACTGTGTATGTGTATGTGCACTGTTTTTTACAACTTTTCTTTCTTAGTAGATGACTGATTTGAGAGCATCTTAATAATATAAGCAGCAGTGTCTTAGTTTTTTTCCATTCATTTTGATTTAGTGTTTGTTTTTATTCAGATAAACTTATTTTCATATTTCCTATGCAATTTCTTTTTGTTAAAACGTAGATATTTGAAGATGTATTGTTAATTAGTAATACTTGGTGATTTTTGAATTTTACTTCTGCTGTAGATTTCAAATTTAATTCAATTGTAATCAGAGAATATATATTTTATTCCTTTAAACTTTTAAATTCACTGATAATTGTTTATGGCCTCAGATATTGTAGGTCCAGAAAAATTTACATTATGAAAAGATTGTGTATTTTGCATTCATTGGGTGAAATGGTCTATAGATGTCAGGTCAAGTTGGTAGATTGTATTGTCCATGTCTTCTATAATTGGGTGGTTTCCATATAAACTATTCTCTCATTATTGAGAGTGAGTTGAAATCTGCAACTGCTATTGTTAAATTCTGCATTTTTCCTTTTAATTTTGCTTGGTGAATTTTAAATCTCTATCGTTATGTTTAAATCTCTATACATGTATGCACATGTATAATTGGTTTATCTTTTTGATGTACTAAACCTTTTGTCATTATAAAACTATCCTCTCATTCGTTCATAATTTTTATTGTTTTAAAGTCAGTTTTTTTCTCATAATAGTATAAAAATTTGAAATCATTAGAGCTTGCATGATCTGTAGTTTTTCTCTTTTTACTTTTGCACCCACTCCACTGTTCTTGCCTGGAGAATCCCAGGGACAGGGGAGCCTGGTGGTCTTCCATCTATGGGGTCGCACAGAGTCGGACACGACTGAAGCGACTTAGCAGCAGCAGCAGCAGCATTTGTATCTTTAAATCTAAAATACATCTCTTATAAATGACAATCACTAATTCTTCCCTTTTTATCCCATCCAACAATCTCTAAGTTTTTAGTTGGGGTATTAAGATGATAGTTTTAATACAAATACTGATTAGCTGTATTTAAACTTCACTATTTGCTTTCTACTTGACTATTGTAGTTTTCATTCTTCTCTTTCTTCTTAACTAGCTTCTTTTGTGTTAAACAAATATTCCTGGTATAAAATTTTAAGGCTTCCTATTTTTAACTGTATTTAAAAAAAATTTTTTTTCCCCTGTGGTTTGCTCTAGTGACTACAGTGTTTCCTATCCTACCGTGATCTACTTCACACTAAAACTAATTTATTTTCAGTAAATACAGAACCTTCCTGTAACATTGCTTCATTTATTCCCAGCAACAACACAATGATGATTTTAATATGGACACCTGATTGTATGTAAACTAATAACTGCAGGCTTCTGAACTTTTGGTTACACTGGAAGGGGAAGCTCTCTTCTGGAGTTTATATCAGGAGATTCATCTCTTTAAACTGAGAATAAAGTCAGTAGAGCTGGAATGAACAGAACTGGCAAAAGACACAAGCCGGCTTCTGATGACAAGGTTTGGGCTTAAGGATTAGACTTTGAATAAATTTGTAACTGCCCCACCACAATCATTTATTTTCTCTCTGCTTATTCTAATTTTGCTTAATTTTTGTGATATACACAAAAGAGCTTTAATACAGAGAATTTTATCAAAAATGACTGGTTGCTCTTGTTTTTGTTAACATGGAGGAAATAAAGTTTCATGAAAAAGAGATCAGATAAAATGATGTATATCTATTATAACTAATAAACTAATAAAATGATATATGTGATGATTAAGAAGATTACATGGCTAAAAACTGTAAGCAGACTCAGTATAGACTACTATACAGATAAATGCTCTAGTTTTTGGACAGTGACTGAATGCATATTGGTAACATTATAAAAATTGGGTACAAGAGAGGAGACAATCTGATTGATGAATAGTAAGTTACATATTAGACATCCTAAGTTACTGATTCCTGTGGCTTATGTTTAACTGAATATATTAACAAGCATTTAAGAGACAAAGCTGAGTAAAACTAAGGCGTTAGAAATCAACTGTACTTACAGAAGTAAGTATGCTGGATTTAAGGGAGTGTGACATCACTTATAGTGTATAAAATGAGATGAGAGAGACCAAAAAACCACCTACAGTAACACGTTTGTTTGCTTGTATTCTCAACAAGTGCAGTATAAATAGCTTGAGGAATACTAGGATTATGAACTCATCTTTGATTCTCCAAAGCCTGGTTTAATGCTTGGCAAATAATAATACATCACTGTACAGTTTTGTTGAATAAATGGAAGAATTGTGAGTTATTCAAATCATCTCATGGGTCACCAAACTTACAAGCTTTTTGTTTTTCCCTTAAATATGTCTCATCTCCAGATACTAGAAGTCTCCCTCATGCTTCTACAAAGGTCAAAGCCTTTTACCTTTGGGAAATCTGATGGGTCACCAAACTTACAAGCTTTTTGTTTTTCCCATAAATATGTCTCATCTCCAAATACTAGAAGTCTCCCTCATGCTTCTACAAAGGTCAAAGCCTTTTACCTTTGGGAAATCTGACAACATCGCATGTGTCTTCTGGAATGACTGGCTTCATTTGTCTCTACTTTTTGGCTCATACATTGAGATCATCTTTATTCCCACAATCAAGGGCTGATGGGGATGTGAATAAGCTTGTGAAGTGGGGAGACTTACTACTTTTTGACTCATGTTTTCTCTTTTCTCACTAGGATGTGAATGTTATCATGAAAAGGTATGTGTGGGAAACCAGAGATAGTCCATTTATGCTGTGAAAATAAAATAAATCCCTTAGAGTTATCTGATGGCCAATTAGGATAAAATAATGCTCAAGGCAGAAAAATGGAGGATAGTCTTATTTTAAATTTCTGTTCATACATCGGGACTAGATTGTTTTATAAACATTGATAATGGACTGGATTCTATATTAGAGCATATTGATTATTGGAAGTTGCAGAGTTTAGGTCAGTACCAGTATTAAAATACAGTAGCAGATCCCCATGACTTCATAAATTTAACTCACACTGTATGTCAATATGCAACTCAGGTTCCCATATTTAGTAGGTGCTTGACTTGTCATGTGAAGGTTGAGTCTTCTTTTCCTGCCAAGCACCTAGAATTGGAGACAACTCCTTTATATTTTAATTTCTGCTCCCAGAAGAGACAAAGTTCTTGTATATTTTTCTGCTTAGATTTCCAAAAACAGACTTGAATCTCAAGGGATATTTTGGCCCTGGAGCAAACTATTGATCAAGCTTGGTCACATACTCTAGAAACCAGAACAGAAAGGTAGAATCATTGTGTCTGAGTTTGCACACCTACATGGCAACATCAAGATCTTTGCAAATGCGTGAAAGTCAGACTACTCTTTATTATTCATAATGTCTTCTTTTCCAAGGGTTTGTAATTATTCCTAGTGATTGTGAAATCTCAGCGTATTCTGAGAGTCTCTCTATTGGACAGAAGTCTTTGAAGATCTTGGGACTCTAGAGAGTGTTCTCATACCTGGTATGTCTCAAATACCCAGGAGCCAGATTCTGCAACCTCACTTTCTGACTCTTTCCTGGAAACACACATCTGTGCAGGGACTTTTCCACAAATTATTTTTTTTAGATACCAAAGTTTTGTTTTGTAAAATCCATTGCCTCATATAATTTCATATGATCCCTAGGAGGTGGAGGATGGTGCGTTAATGATTTCATTATAGAAGGAAGAAACTCCCCTTCTGACATTTTAAGACCATCCAGGTCACACAGAGGGTACCTGGGAAGGTAGACATGAACACTTTCTTTCTTGCTCCAAGATCAGGCATCCACTCTCTTCTTTCCCAAGGTCTCCAGGAAAGACAATTCAAGCCCATAAACAGGGTGAAAATATAGCAAGCCAGTGGTTATAGAGGGGAAAAAAAAATCACATTTGTGGGCATCAAATTTGTCTTCCCTAGGAGTGAATCCTTGGCTCTGAAGAAGCCAAAAACTTTCCCCAAGGAACAGAGGAGAGTGTTTCGAGCTCCTGATCTGAGAGAAATACTGCGTGTGTTTAATGGTGAGGAATGGTGTCGGAGGGCTTCTTTGATGGAGGGAAAATGGGTAGGAGGCTCCAATTTCTATGTGTAGATGGAGACAGCAAAGCCTAGACACTATGTGCTAATGATGTGGTCATATTTATGGGGGGTGACCGGGGGCTTGGTTCATCCTGTCTTTTGCCAGTTCACTACCTCACCATAGCCATTCCCCTCATCTGGAAGAAAATAGATTTCAGGGCTGACTCTATTGCTTATACTTAATATTGTGAATTTTTTTTTATCATTTCAGAGCTGACAGATGTGCAACGCTACTGGGGTAAGGAGGCATCATAGTATAATCAAGCCACCCTGTTCTCATCATCTTTTAGAATTTTTCATTTTCTAGCAGGTCCCATGTTTTAAGACCCATGTTTTCCCTCCCAACACACGCAAACATATTCCTTTTCCAGCCAAGTTATTCTAAAGATCCCTTTCAAAATGTCACAAGAAAACTACATCATTACCCTAACCCACGCCTATATTTTTCAACAGTTCAGGTGACCCTGAATTCTCCCAAGGGTGCAAATGTTGTCATTTCTCCGGATCAGAGACAAGTGAGATATGTGTCCAATCACCAAGTCTTTAATACACTTCGGAATCATAATTATGAAAATTTTGGTGTCCTGGGCTTCCCAGTTATCACATCAGGGAGACATTACTGGGAGGTAGACGTGTCAGAGAAACGTGCCTGGATCCTGGGGGTATGTGGTGAAAACTGTGAAGATATCATGATGTCATCATTAAAAACCAGTGGAAATTTTCAAAAGGTTTATTCAGGATATCGAGCTCCAGGTTTCAGTTTTGCAAGTGATTATTCAGGCTATAAACCTAACAATGGCAGTAGTCAAGATGTTTATTCAAGATATCAACCTAAAAATGGCTATTGGGTCATAGGGTTAAAGAGTGACTCTGTATATAATGCCTTTGATGAGTCTTCCTTCTCACATCCTGTGATTTTAACCCTCTCCCTGAGTGTTTCTCCCCATCGTGTTGGGGTTTTCCTAGACTATGAGGCTCGCACTGTCTTATTTCTCAATGTCACCAACCATGGGTTTCCCATTTATAAATTCTCTTCATGTTCCTTTCCTCAGAGAACATTTCCATATTTCCATCCTATGCAATGTGAAGGGCCCATGACTCTGTGTTCACCAACCTGTTGAGTCTTCTGACATTCACACTCCCTTCTCTATAGTACCTCTTACTGGTGCATCTAACACACCTGTCCTTATCTGCAACATTCTTACCCTTTTTCCTTGCTGCCTCTCTTTTTTTTCCACTTGAAGATCCTTCATTCATTAAGAGGGTGAACAATTTCCCTTGTGTCATATTTTCCCCAATATCAGGTATGTGTTAGAAAATCTTAATTTTCCTTACCCATGGTAAAGTGATGGATGCCCCATAAAGAAAGAGCAGTATTGATGTAACACCTTTGCCAAATTTTACAATCTCACTTACTCTGCCACTGACTGAGAAAATGAAAGAAAACTTTTCGACAACATTTGTATATTAGACCTAGTATAGGAGTCCTTCCCTAAAGAGTGAGTGCTGAGCTGTGTCTCAGTTTATCCATGATGCCCATATTCATTAAGGAATTGAGGGGAAAATAGCATAAATGATATGTACTAAGAATGAAAGCTTTTGTGTTCAGAGTGTCTAAATTCAAGCCCTGTCTCTACATATTAGAAGTGTAAACTTGAATGGCATATTTAAGTGATATGTTTATTTTCTTAAAGCAATCTTGTTATAAAATTGTACCATATACAAGATCATTGTGAGAAAATAAATGCAACCAAGTGTAAAGCATACAACTGTCTCAATAATAAATATTTTATCTATTAATTACTAAACAACATAACCTATATCAGTGTCTCATTAAACAGATTTGTTCCTTCAGGAATACAATGGTTCTTTTCACTGAAGTCTCATTTTTCAGATCCTAGATACCTCTGTGCTGCTGTCAAGACTACTGTAGCTCTTCGTGCTATAAAAAAGTGTGTGTGTGTGTGTGTGTATGTGATCACAGAATTTTATTATAATTCTTACGTTTCTACAAAATAGCTCTTATCAAGTAAATAAATTCTATAGAGTTCAGTTTCTCATTTAATTTCTCTGATTAATATTGTGAAAATTAAACAATACAACATTTGCAATAACTTATGTAATTTCTAGCCCATAAGGGGAAGCCCAGTATAAATGTCTATTCCTTTTTGTTTCCTTCTCACTGTGATTGAAATAAATCGTTTTCAGAATACATGTTACTTTATTTTCAACATTATTTCTTTGTTTTAAGAAACAGAATAAATTGAAGAATTGCAATTTTTTCTCAATCTTACCTAACTGCTAAATAAATGTTTTTGGATAGCCACATTATCTCACATTTTAAACTTTTTCTGTAGTAATTCTATTTCATTGAAGTTGAATTTCATTTTGTGGTCTGTTTGAAAGTGCAAGTCACTCAGTTATGTGTAACTCTTTATGACCCCATGGACTATAGCCTGCCAGGCTCCTCTGACCATGGAATATTTCAGGCAAGAATACTGGAGTGGGTAGCCATGCCCTTCTCCAGGGGATCTTCTTGACTCAAGGATTGAACCCAGGTCTCCTGCATTGTAAGCTGATTCTTTTCTGTCTGAGCCACCAGGGAAACCCATGGTCTGTTTGTCCCGCTTTAAAAAGTTCACAATGATTACATTCACAGTAAAAATGATACATTAATACTCAAAAGTGTAGTCATGGGATCTCCTAACAGTGGTGTAGCTAAATGTTTTCTGAGCCCTGGTCAGACTTTTGCATTGAGATGAAAGTTCATAAAAAGGAAGAGAAAATTCTACTATCTTCCTTTAGTGAGATTAGAGAAAGAATTATTTCTGAAATGAATATTCTTTCAGGGACTGATGGAATCCCCATATCTTTTGGAATTTTTCCCCAGTCTTCCTCCAAGCAAATCATAGTTCATTTTTTTCTTTCTAAAGAAATAAAATGGATTATTTGTTTAAGCTATAACTATTTTTATTCCTCTTCTCAGGAATTCTCAACTTTCTCATTTTAGGAAGACCTTTGATGAGACAAGGGTTATCAAGGAGGACTTTTCCACTGTTTGTGTGTGTGTGTGTGTGTGTGTGTGTGTGTGTGTTTGTATGCACAATCAATATCTTAGTACTGATTCTTGGAAACAGAAAAAAAATAGGCTTTTAAATTTTCCCTTTGACCTCTGCCTTCCTGTCTGTCCACTGCTACTATGACTAAAGTTCTGACTTACTAGGAAAAATCTGTACTCTTGAATTATTGACCAATGACTCTCCAGGGACATTGATGCCTTTTCTTTTGCTGGAATGCCCCATTCTCCAGTTCAGGATGAAGCACCTAGTTATGAGAAAATGAAGATCTGAATGTCTATATACAAAAGAAAAGATCTATGCACTGTGTGGTACTCACTTTCTCACAGAGGTTCCTGACCCCAGAAATGAAGCCACCTGCTGCTGAGAAGAATAGAAATAAAAGTTTCTCCCAGTTACAGATTCTCTTCTCAGTAAAAGACTAAAGAAAGTGTCCTGGAATTTCATCAATAACTGATGCTGGGAAAACTAGACAATTATATGTAAGAGAATAGAATTGAACATTTCCTCAGACTGCATACAAAAGTAAATTAAAAATGGATTAAAGCCCTAAATGTAAGCTCTGAAAGCATAAAACTCCTAAAAGAGGATGTAAGTAAGACAGTTTCTCATAAAAATCATTGCAATATGTTTTTGAATCTGTCTCCTAAGGCAAAAGAAATAGAAACAAAAACAAAAAAAGAATGAGACCTAATTAAAAGCTTCTGCACAACAAGCAAAACAGTTGGCCAAATGAAAAGACAACATACAGAAAGGAAGAAAATATTTGCAAGTGATATGACTGCTAGGGGTTAATATCAAAATTTATCAAAAAAAACCAAGACCCCAATAACAAATAAATAGAAGCCTGGAATAGACATTTTTCTAAAGCAGACATAGATTTCTAACAGGCACATGAAAAAATTCTCAACATTGCTAATTATCAGGTTCGATGAAAATCAAGCCTACAAAGAAATATCACCTAACATTTGTCAAAATGACTATTGTCAAAAATTCCACAAATATAAAGAGAAAATAAATAGCACAAATACCAAATGTTGGTGAAGAGGGAGGAAAAACAGGGAACACTGGCACAGTATTGATGAAATTTTTAATTGGTGTAGGCCCTATAGAAACAGTACAGAGGTTCTTCAAAAAGCTAAGAGTAGAAATACCATATGATTCAGCAATTCCACTCCTGGGTACGTGTCTGAAGAAAATGAAAATATCAATTAAAAAAGATATATGCACCCCAAAGTTCACAGCAGTATTATTTCTTATGGACAAGATAGGGAAGCAGCCTAAGTGTCCATACAGATGAATGAACAAGTTGTAGTGTATATATACACTACATGTCTGACTATGGATCAGAAGAGTCCAGGTTAGACTCCTGGCTGACTCGCAGTGTGCATCATCATTCGGGGGCTTCCCTGGTAGCTTAGCTGGTAAAGAATCTGCCTGCAGTGCAGGTACCCCAGTTTGATTCCTGGGTTGGGAAGATCTGCTGGAGAAGGAATAGGCTACCACCTCCTGTATGCTTGGGCTTCCCTTGGCTCAGCTGGTAAACAATCTGCCTGAAATGTGAGAGACCTGGGTTTGATCCCTGGGTTGGGAAGATTCCCTGGAGAAGGGAGAGGCTACCCACTCCAGTATTCTGACCTGGAGAATTCCATGGACTATATAGTCCATGGGGTCTCAAAGAGTGGGACAGGACTGAGTGACTTTCACTTTCACTTTTCATACATAATGGAATATTACTTACCTATAAAATAAAGTGAAATTCTGCCATTTGCAACATGCATGGACCAAAAGTGCATTATGCTTAGTGAAATAAGTCAGATAATGAAAGAAATTTGTTATCACTTATATGTGGAATCAAAAAAATAAAACAAAGTTATATAAAAAAGCAGACACAAGACGAGGGTGGGATGTTCTGAGAGAATAGCATTGAAATAAGTATACTATCAAGGGTGAAACAGATCTCCAGCCCAGGTTGGATGCATGAGACAAGTGCTCAGGGCTGGTGCACTGGGAAGACCCAGAGGGTTGGGATGGGGAGGGAGGTGGGAGGGGGGATCGGGATGGGGAACACATGTAAATCCATGGCTGATTCATGTCAATGTATGGCAAAACCACTACAATACTGTAAAGTAATTAGCCTAGAACGAATAAATGAAAAAAAAAAAAAAAGACACAAAATCCTAGATATAGAGACCAATCTGGTGGTTACAACTGGTGAGTGGGAAGCAGGGAGAAACTAGGTATTTATATAGGATTAAGAGATACAAACTACTATGTATAAAATAAATAAGATACAAAAATATATTGTATACCATGGGCAAATCTAACTGTTGCTTGTAATAACTTTAAATGCACTCCAATATATAAAAACATAGAGCTTCCCAGGTGGTGCTAGTGGTAAAGAACCCTCCTGCCAATCCAGGAGAGATGTAATAGAGATGCAGATTTGATCCCTGGGTGGGGAAGATCCTCTGGAGGAGGGCATGGCAATCCACTCCGGTATTCTTCCCTGGAAAATCCCATGGACAAAGAAGCCTGGCAGGCTACAGTCCATGGGGTTGCAAAGAGTTGGACACAACTGAGCGACTTTCACTTTCATATAAAAAAATTGAATATTTGAAATTTAGATACTGAGAAGACCTGCTTGATCCAGTTGTCTGTGTCCCTCCCCCCTGTACTCCACCCCCCTCCCCAATAGCAGAGCCTATGTCTCAGGGGATCCTGGATTCAAGGAAAAAGTGCATCATCTTGGTGATGACAGCAAATCTAGCTGAAACAAGGCAACAATGACCTTGGTGGCATAAGATAGTGAAAGTCGCTCAGTCATGTCAGACTCTTTGCAACCCCACGCCAGGCTCCTCTGTCCACGAGATTAGCCAGGGAGGATCACGGGAGTGGATTGCCATGCCCTCCTCCAGAGCATCGTTCCAACCCAGGAACCCAACCTGCATCTCTTACGTCTCTCCTGGGTTGGCAGGCGGGTTCTTTACCACTGGCACCACCTGGGAAGCCCTACAGAGATGGTGGAGGTTGGAAATTGCCAT